TCCCCCCCCCCCCCCCCCCCCCCATATGCATGGTTCCACTCAAACGAAAGGTGCTAGCTTCGAGGTGCGAGGTGCCATGAGTTAAAGCAGCATCCAGCGTTGAAGGAAAATGAGCGTTTGTTGTACTGCATTGTCTGTCCCATTCTCTGCCCTTCTCTCTCTCCTCTCTGTCTCTGTCTGTCTCTCTCTCTCTCTCTCTCTCTCTCTCTCTCTCTCTCCCTCTCTCTCTCTCTCTTCTCTCTCTAGGGTGCGCTTCATGTGTTGTAGCGTCTTTTCGAGATTGGTCTTCCCCGCTTTATCCTGGCAACCGCACTTGTTGACTGGGTACCGCCATCGTGTCCAAGGCACTATACGAGTAATAGATACCTGTGGTAATGGTGCCGTTTCGTGGGACCGCCGCGTGACTCGGTAGTATCCCGATGTCTGCACACACACATCAAGGCATCGAACACACAATCGGTTGTCTTGGGATCGGCTGCTTGATGAGCTTCGATCACCCTCCACCTATATACAAAACCATTACGATAGCACAGCAACAACAATACCTCTTTGAGGGGTCACCGACAAACGACATACTTGTAGTTTTGATAGGAATGTGGATGTTGGTGTTGAGATGTACCACTACTGTGGCACGCACCGGGCGATAGTTCCGGTCTTTTTTCGACCACCCCCCCATCCCCTCGATAGAACATTTCCCCGAGGTGTTGACCCTGTATTTGGGATTTTGTTGTTATCTTCACTTTGAAAACCGTCCAGACCTCCATGCAGTACCCCTCCCGCATTTGACCGTACCCCAATCGGTACTGAAAAAGTTTCCGTACCCGCAATGTTTCCCAAATAAGGTACCCCTCTTCTTCACTATACCCCCATCGGTGCTGAAACAAGTTGCCATGGTTGCAGTCTTGCCCAAAAAAGGTAATTGCAACCCACGGGAAGACTACGAGAATTCTCCCCACTCGAATAAACACAAGATTTAAGACAGAGCAGTTCAGAACGACGAAAAAAGGGTGATGTTCCATGCTGTAGAAGCACCTTCGAGAAGGAGAGTGGTGTTCCCTTGGTGTGAGGTCATGCGATCTGTCGCCTGGCCCCTCGAGCTTCCATGTCCCAAGAACCAATCAACGTTTTGTTTGCTTTCACGAACATTTGGATTGCAGAAGCCGAAATCAATCCATTAGACTAGTCAGCGCAGACTGGTCTCATGGTTTGATATCAGCTTCTAATGGTTTGATTTCGGCTTCTATAGGATAAAGCAGAACTACAATTTACACCCTCGTGTGTTTGCAGTTTGTTGCAGCTCTGGAACAAGCATGACATTCAAGTCTTGGATGCATGTGATGGCGCGGAGCACATTCTTGTTTGGCCCAGGATACAAGAGTGTTTGTGTTGACTCAGTAAATGTAGCTAACCTCCGTCCATTCGACAACACGCCCCATTTCGGTTCCGCCGCAGGCTCTATTCGGTGGGGTTCGATCCATTGGACGGCTCCTCGATCATCGATGCCAATTTCGCCGTGGGTTCGATCTTCGGAGTCTGGCCGGGGGACAAGCTGCTCGGTAGAACCGGCAGGCAACAGGTACCTAAAGGGCTGTCAGTTTGCTGTGGTGGGTGTTGATGTTGTTGCTGCAGTTGTTGATGTTGCTGTTCTTATTGTTGTTGCTGTTGTTGTTCTTATTGTTGTGGCTGCTACTGCTGACGCTGCGGCCGCTGCTGCTGCTGCGGCGGCGGCGGCGGTGGCTGCGTTGTTGTGATTGACTCCAACAATCTCCGTCGGCGTAATTATTTTCGAACCGAGCCGACTTGTTTGTTTTGAACCGACTTGCAGCTGTAGGGTTTCGTCTTTTTGGTACATAGTAGTAGGCGCGCAACTCCCGCCATTTTGACGGGATCGACCTCGCTCGAGGCTACACTAACATGGAAAGTACAAATTGTCTGCAGGACAACTTGCGTCGTTCCCGCGTGTGCACCAAAGCTCAGGCTTCTCCGTGCGCCATCTCCGCCGGCAATGCGTACTGCTGCCCGTTCCTGTAACCTACGATTCATGAAATCTTGCAGCGGCCTACCGAATGGTATGTTTGCCCCCAACCCAACTACATGTAGAGTTCGAAGGATAACTACACCAAGAAGGAGGGCAGCGAAGATGGACAGAAGTCTTTAACAGGTGGTACGATGATATTGTGTGCTGTCGTTCCCGGCTTCATCCCCAGGTGGCTTCGTGCATGAGCCAGTACGGTCCGAGGACGACAATGGCTGTCGCGCTTTCCGCTGTCACCACGGGGGGGGACGCCGTCGCCTTTGAGGTGTGATAAAAAAAATGCAATAGGGTTCGTCGATAAAAGACGCATCCCACGCGACACTAAGCCTCTACCATATACCGTAAGAGTCGGAGAGATGTCACCCCCGTGTTGGCGAGTTTTTTTTTGCGTATTTCTCCACAATTGGGAGGGTGTGAACACCAACCGATACCTCTCAGGAAAGCCCTCCACGAGAGGTTTCCAAAACTACCCTTTTCGGCAGTGGTACCCCCTGGTTGTGGAGAAATACGCTATTAAAAAAGACGCCAACACGCGGGTGCCATCTCTCGGACATTTGCGGTAGTCCCTGTTGGTTCTCCGACAGAAGATCCGAAACGCCTGCCTAGAGCAAAATAAGAGTAAGCAATTATTCGTAGGTGGTGCCAAGTGTTGCGCCTTACCATCCGACTTTCGTTTTTTGTGCGTGTTTTCCACCAGCTAACCTTCCAATCCGATGTTCAGCGGTGGGTGGTCACACGCGAGAAGTTCGACATCGCACCAGCAGGAAAGGTACGCCAATTTTTGTTTTGCTTTTGACCCAAAGGCATATATACGCGGACCAAAGTCTGGACGTGGCTACGCGCAGACGGTGGTTTCTGATGGTTTGATGCAGGCCGTATTCCCGCGAGTGCGCGAATCATGTATTGGCGGATGCAGACGATGGTTAGACAGATCCGACCATTTTGTTGATGGATGCAGCCGAGACAAAGGACAAGATATGCACGTGGCGGTATTGTTGATTTACGGAGTACGATCTGTTGCAGCATTTGATTCGTTGTTGGCAGAAATACCCCATCTTGGCTTTGCCGCAATGTTCACCGTCCGCTGGGGATCGAGAAACAACCAATCAGCGATCTTTCTGCTTGTGTGCATCTCGCCTACCATATCCGTCATGCGGACACTCCGCTTTGTGTCCTTAATACCATCGTGTTAGAGTCTTGTTTGTGAGTGTTTTCCGACGGTAAGTTCTATCTGCATCAAGATGCCGCCCACCAACCTGATTGTTTCATGTGTCGGGTTGTCTTAACATTTTTGCTTGCCACGTTTTTTAGAAAATTACATACAAACAGAAAAGACTACGTTCGAGACGTAAACCACAGTTGAAAGGGATGCGTTCAAGTCTTTTCCGTGAGTGGATATTTGGCTTACAGTATCCTGAATAGTGAAATGCTCGATGTAATGGCATCAATATCTCTTGACGCAATCTCGAAATGTACATGACCCCGATATATCGAATAGTGGCACTGCCCTGAATAAATTATTTGCTCTTGCCCTACATACCGCTATATCGGGACCATCACTGTTTTGTTCCTCGTGATTGATGTGTACCCTCGTACAGGTCTTCGCGCCTGGCAACTTGCGGGCGACGGCGGACCAGCCGGCTTACAAGCGGCTTTTCGATCACTGGGTCGACAACAGGTGGGGGTTTCAATGTCGCCGAGGCGTTGGTCGTTTCCCTCCTCCTTTTGCCGTGAAATTGTTTTCGTTCGTTGCGCAACAGAACAACAAACTGCGGGTTTCTGGTGAGACAATTGCTCTATTCGACATGGACGAAATCTCCAAGGTTTGATCACCTGGGCGGCACGGGATTCGGCTATCGTACGTTGGACATAGTCCTTCAAGCAGCTGTGTTCTGTGTGTTGCCGGCTAGCCGTTGGATGGAGGCGCTGGCGGTCCGGTTGATTCTTGTAATCGAGAAGTGTTTATTCGCAGAACACCAATCAACTTCAAGTTTGCCTGCCATGCAAGGTATGTTGAGCTGCTGGTCGGTCATCCAAGGGCGGGTTTGGAGGTGCAAAGAAACGACGAAAAAAAGCACCTGAAATATGGGTCTCGAGATTTTTTCTCCACTCCCCACCCCCTTTAAAAAAAGCGTGCCGTATTGTTTTTGATGGAACGTTTTACAGTATACATGTATTTGTGTTGTGCCGCACTGTGTGCTGCTCTGAGCGGCCTCGTTCGTTTGTTTGCGTTTGCGAAAACCCGAAAAGGTACACGTTGAGATATACCGGGGGCATGGTGCCAGACGTGTACCACATCCTGATCAAGAACAAAGGGGTGTTCAGCAACGTCTCCAGCGCAGCAGCTAAGGCGAAGCTTCGGCTGCTGTACGAGTGCGCTCCGATCGCCCTTCTCATCGAGGCCGCCGGAGGAGCCAGGTGAAGGGGGAGCGTGCACTACAGTAGGTTTTTGTCGCAGGGTGTACGGTGTTAAAGCCTAGAGAAATCAGTTTCTTGCCAACGGTGCGCGGTGCCTCTAACGCCCGCCCGCCTCCCGCTTGTTTCGATTGAGGCGCACTGCTGCTGTTGTTGCCGACGCTCGTTCACGATTTTTGGGAAGGCGGTTGGTCTGACGGGCTTAACTTCTTTTGTCCGTGCTGTGCGTAACCGTAGGCTTCGGCAGAGGCGCTTCTCTTGTAATTGTTGAGGCCAATTTCCATCCCGGTGAAAAGGATCACCTATCGCAGTCAAGCCCAGGTGCCTGCGTCTTGTCATTCGGAGATGGCTCTTATTCTCCACTCACAGCAGGTCTTTGGTGCTGTCTGCCGATGTTGCCCTGGCATCAAGAGACGGCCTCTAGACAGAAATTAACTCCCTCGTGCCCGTTCCGATGCGACGCACGCGGCGTTCTCTATTGTGTTACTTTTTTCAGCGTTATGGCCCCTTCCCCGGGGGCAGCATCGGGAGGGACTCCGCTGTCGGTGCTGGATGTGGAGATCGACAACCTGGACAAGCGGCTAGGGCTCTGCTTAGGGGGGAAAGAAGAAGTGGACGTGTTTAATCGCTTTATGTTCGGCTAGTTTCATCCTGGGGGAGGGGGGGGGGGGGATTGGTCCTTTAGGGGGGTGGGGGGGCAGGTTGAGGTACAGGTGTGAGACTCGTGCGCTTTACAGGACAGCGATGTTAATACGCAAGCATTGCTTTCAAGGGAACGGGAGTGCAAACTTCACTCGCCCCGTATCCGGCTAGAGCTTCAATGAGCTCCAACGATGATCGCGGACTTTCCGCCAGCATTACGGCTCACTTCACCTACAGCACAAAAGGTGTGTCGAGCGAATCTTTGAGACGTTTGAGGTGCTTGCCTACTTGGGATCAACGTGGTTCTCTGCACGGACGGACAGTTGAAGAGGCGGGCGCGACACGTGGCAATACCCTTCATGCACACGTACTGCTGTACGAGTGGTTCCATGGAATTGACGGTGTCAACCACGAAGTGTCGTCTCTTTTCTCCACGGTCGGATGATATCCGCTGACTTGCTGCTTTTGAGAGGAGGTGTATTTTGTCCGAAGGCTTGCAGTCTCCGTCAATTTTCAAGTTGACACTGCTGTGCAAGGTAGTCGGGCTGGCCATGCCTCCGACGCGAGCGAGTGCTGTGTTTCTCATGAAAACTTCTTTTACGGATTGCGAATCAAGCCCATCGCACTTCAGCCGTCAAAAGCTAGCGTTTGCTTATAGGGGGGCGGTTTCATCTCGTTTCTCAGCCCAGGCACCTCGCAAGCGAATAAGGTGTTCATCGGCTCCTCACTTCGATTCCACAGCGCATGTCGGGTTTCCAGCAGCCAATCGCATGCGATGGTCTCCCATGTGTTGGTCGGACGTGGTGCTTGGGACCGAATATGGAGAGAACAGCAGTAAATGGGCGGAGCCCATCGAAGAAAGAAGAGGGGAAACAAATACAACGTAGAAAATAAAATGTAGAACATGGGCAAAGATGGGGTGCGCACAAAGCCGGCAATACCGGTCTCTGGTTCTACTATGTACTGCATTAGGCTTCGTGTTGATATTCAACCACAAATCTCCCCGCCAAACGCGACGGAGCCGGCTGTTGTTGGTTTGTGGATCCCCCCGCGGCCATATTGGGCCTGCGCCTGTACTATTATCCTCGCGTAGCGTAATGAGATCACCCCATCGGTAACAGGCTCAACAAGACGTTGTCTTGGTCTTCGTTGGTTGGTACACTTGATTGAGCGTGCCCGTATTCCCGCGCGGCGGAATTACATGCAGAGAAATGGTTCTACCGCATTTCTGAACCGGCACTTGTACGCTGCTAATGTACGCTCGCCGCGCACCGCGCCCGCGCCACCACGCCACCGCGTTACTACTGTAGCAGTTAACCTACTGACAGGTCAAGCACCCGGGGTTTGATACAACAATACAGCAGGATACAGTAGTAGTTCCCAGGTTGCAGACTACTGTAAACATAGACAGTCAGTAATCCTTCTGAGTTTGCTCACCCTACAGCAGTAGGAACCCAGCAAAGAGCGCAATGAAGCCATCCCAGCTGGCTGTCGACCAAGCAGCAGGCGCAGGCGACATCGAGGTAAGTGCCACCTTGCGCTTGCCACTAACGAGGGGTGGTGGAGGCATCTTTCACGGCGCTAGTCGTCCCGTCTGCAAGCATAAGAGCAGCCGAGGATGGATAAGCTACCGCGACAAAACAAAAATACTTGTTGAGCCTGTTACCCGCAGGGGAGATGTCCCTATATGCTGTCTGGGAAACCGTAGACATACAGGTACTTTCTGACGCTATGAATTCATTGCTAATCTGTCTCAGACTCTTTTCTATGATAGAGATGGATTCGTTGTGTCATATTAAGAAAAAAAAAAAAAAAACTACAGTAACTACAGCAGCAGTGCAACTGCTGTAGCAGCTCTGTTTGATCGATGTGTACTGTAGACTAGCACACTACTACTGTATGTGGTGTAAAACTGAACCGTCTACAGTATACTACCAGTGACACCAGCAACTTATTTGAATTGTTCTTTTAGTGTGATGCTTCCTATCTCAACATGCTTCCTACAACAACAACCACCGCAGACGTTGAATTGGCTATGGGACGAAAGCAAAGGAACATTGTTCCCAGGAGCAGCAGGCTTGCAAATGGCTGCGGCTGCCGGCAAGGTACAACAGTGGTCGGCTTCCAGGCCAACAGCTCTGCATGTGGGCCGACTTTGACTGTACAGTAGTCGGTATCGCGAGTCCACGCTGAACTCAAAGTCCAGTATCCAGCAGGTGCCGTTCAACCTTCATTGTGAAGACTTCAACATATACAACATGTTGAGGTTCATCTCGGACGGGCACGAGCCCCTTTATGACCGTTTGTTGTATGGTTTCTACAAGTAGAGGCAACTCCTCTTCGTGAGGATGTAGAACGTGATGTACTTGTGGAAGAACACATATGTGGAAAAGCATGGTTGGTACCAGATAGAAACTGTATCGAGTTTCACGAACGAGGAACGCGTGCATGCGTTGCTACTTCTCGTGCCTGTATTCTCCATGTGGAGGTACCCCTCATTCTCTATGTACGATGGCAATACGAGTCAATGGTTGGGATATAGTTTTGAACTCACAGCAGCGGTAGTGCAACCCATCGAAACCTTAGGGCGTTGAGGCGCTTGGTACATTCACCGTGGAACGCCGCACCTCCGTGGCATGCCGTAGCACACGCCAGTTCTATAGCGTAACGGTATATTCCTAGCCCGCTCTTGCGTTTGTCAACTTCCCGATTCATGGCACAAAGTTTCCGCATACTAAACACCATGCTATTGGCGAAAAAAAATTGTTCTGCAAACCAAGGCCCAGCCGGTCGATGTCGTGGGGATGTCAGTAACGACATGCTTCCAGCAGCGGAGGTCTCTGTAGCGAAAGCAGATGAATCTTTGACATGTACAACGTGGTTTCACCGTTTTCACGCGCGACGTGCCGATGCTGCCACTTTGGGGTAGATTTGCACCCTTGAGTGGGCCCACTCGCGAGGGTTGCCAGGCTTTCAGGGGCTCATGGACATCGCCGCTTGGAAGGGCAGGTACGAGGGTATTCATGTGTCAAGTGATTTTGTTAATTGTTGTCGTTGTTGCTGTTGACAGCGGATGGAGTCGCAGCCTCTCACACGCGAACATGGCTGATGAACGTATACAATACCAGAGCATATGTGCACCATGGAAATTAGCATGCGCACCGCCGCTGACGATATTGGCAGGTTGTCCGTGCTGAAGTGGCTTCAAGCGAATAGAAACGAAGGGTGCACCATCAAAGGGACCACCTGGGCAGCTCAAAGGTGACCGCTCGCCAGTAGTACCTTCCCTAATGGCACATCGGTTTCCACATAGCCCATGTTTCAACGTGTTTCACCCAATACAACCCTATCGGCGGGGTAGGTTGTTCGTTTTAAACAACCGCAACTCAAACCCTGTTAGCTTCATGAAGTGATTGGCTAGGCCCCAAAACACGGCTGCCGGCGGCAGTGATACCGCCAACTTCAAAACCAGAGATCTTCTACCCAGCAACGAATCTGAGCGAATCCAACATGTTACGCCTAAAGCGCTACTCTCATCCACTACCTATCGTTGGCTTTAGTCCACTGACACAGTTGATAGGATGCTTCTTGTTGCCCGTAGTATTCTTGACCTACCAGCACAATCGATTAGGACCTAAACTTCGGGAATTTGGCCTCCCACGGCAGTGGCCATCTGAAGGTTCTCAGATGGTTGCGACATGCGCTTGGTCAGGAGTGCACGACCGACGCCCTGGAGGCAGCCGCAACGGCGGGGCGAGTCCGTGTCGTCGCTTGGCTCCTGCGAAACAGGTGAGAAAAGGACAGGACCCTACAAAGATCCGCACGGTAGGTCCCTCCATACCCATCCCAGCGTTGTCGTTGGCCCGTGTTTTTCTCGGTCTGAAAACCCTACTATCTTTTTCATGCACGCTGTGAAATATTGTGCAAAAAAAACGAGTCCCGCAAGCCATAGTCTTGGAGGGACAGAGGTTTCTGTGGGTCTACCGAAGTTTTCAAAACTTCGTTCACAAGGTGATCATCAACACAGCAGGTGGTGTGCTGACTGCTTGCCCTGCCCCTAGCGAAGCTGCCCCACCTTTTCTCCCCTCTCTTGTCTGGCTCGGCACCTCTCCCGTAGCACGCAGCCTCTAGGTGCTGCCATGATCTAACGACCACACTCGGTTTCGTCGGTAACATCATGTGAGGTGTCATGGATCTTGTGGACCGTATCGTTGCTTTTCGGGACGCTTGTCACTTGTGTTTTACTTGAGTTCGTTCCGCTCCAGGGAAAGCAATCCCCGGGTTTGACTCTAGAGCAAGCAATCGACGTTGTACACAACCGGCAACAGGTTCTGGGACACGCTATCCGCATGTTCTACTTGATGTTTTGACTACGGCCAGCTTGTCGTACGTGTACGGTAACGCACCGGCAGCGGCTACCAACAGGTTTCCAAGACACCGGCGGTTGTCGCGGCGGCGTCGAAAGGACACGTGGCCGTGCTGAAGCTGTTGCTGTCGTCATCCCGAGAAGAGGTGCGACAGAGGGCTTCGTTGATGCAGCAACGACTTGTTTTTCACGAAATTCCTATCGTGGAGTAATCCCTGCTGCTTGACAGAAACGCCTGGACTATTGTGAGGTGCCCATTGTTGGGTGAGTACTACGTCAATATCTGCACGCGGTGGATGATCTATCACCACTATTTCCTCCCTACTGCTGAAATTGTCAAACTTGTAAGCCGCAAAACACGTGTCGACGGTAATCCCGGAGTACCACCAAGCGTTCATTGAGAAGATCCATGACCCCCCCCGTGCTCTCTAACCAGTCCCGCCTCGACCTCAATATGTTCGGTTTTGGGAGAGCAGGCAGAAAAGTCCGAGTGGGCGATTGCCTTGGCGAGTAGCGGGAACCACTCCGAATGCGTCGAGCTCCTCGAGGAGGCGGGTTGGCCCGCGAGACCCGCCCTTGCCAGTGCCGGAAACGGAAGCGAATCGTCATATAAAGACGACGAATTCCCAGGAGAGAAGCCTTATCGACACGAGGAGAGCAAGAAGGAGCCCAGCAGTCTATCTGACGGGGAGAATGGTTGGATGGCGCAATTTGCTCAGGTGTGAACGACGAAAAAGCAGCGTGAACAGCTATTTACGTAGAGAGGGCGAAACCAGGGAAGCCTGTCGAACGTTCCGAGCGGAGGGCCAGTAGAGAAATCGACGTCACTACCGTGTGGCAGCGGAAATCGTTGTTTCAGCGCATCGCGCTTTTGATAGAGACCCTCCGACACAACCACAGCGATCTGATCGACACGACTCCCCGCAGCAGCCACACCGGCCAGGATCAGCCAGTCCCGACAGCGAAGACACCAAGGACCTACGGCGTTCGAGCATGTTACACCCGAACCCCTTCGCTCTACGGCGACACCGCCTCTCACGGAGAATGCCCTCAGGTAACAACGATCCGATTATTGGTCAAGAGGGAGGTCGACGGGTGCTATCCGTAGACGTGGCGCTGCCGGGTCCAGACTTCGAGGGAAAGGCGGAGTTTTTCGAACTGTTTGAACCTCACACACCGCGACCACCGCCGTCGGTCGTCCGCGCCGGAAAGATGGGTGGAAGAAGGTGCTCAAGATGGCCCTTCTTTGGGCGCCCAAACACCGCATCATCGGCTCTAAGAAGAAGGATCACGGACGTCGTACGAGATGCGGAAGGGTTCTCTGGGGGGGATTGGGCGGAGCGGGAGAGGGACTGGCCGGCGGTTGGCGGTATCGACCACGACGACGACGAAGACTGCGGTTGCGATGAATGCCGCTTGGTTGCGTTTCTCCAAGCGACAGAGCCGCTTGCGGTCGGCGAAAAACCTAGGGTACGGGATGTCTGGACGCCGGTTTCAGCGGACGTCCCTGAGGTAACAAGCGCTCTCCCTCGCTCTCTGTTCGCGGCATCATCATTCTTCAAGTCCATAGCAGAAGCATTCTGAAAGGGACTCGTTGTCAAATTCAACTTTTGTAGCGTGTGGGCGCGCCAAAATCCTCAACCCAGCACTCGCCTTTTGCTGAGGCTGGACTGGGTTTGTCGGATCTACTCAAACCGACAGCTCACTGTTTGTTTCAGCAACATTCGTGACGGTTGTACCTTTGTCCTCAAGTGTAACTCGAGGAGGCTTTCATGTCCTTCCACGTACGTTGCCTCAGGAGTAGTGTGCTTTAGCAAGAGCTTTCGGGAGGTCTGGGATATACGTGCCCCTACCGCTTTCGGTTTTGATGACATGTCGGGCGGTATGTGCCCGGAAGGGCCAAGCAGTGAATTTGCAGCTTCACCACTGCCAGGAATAGCAATGAACCGGCCGACACCTGTCGCCGTAACACCAGTCACACAGCAGTAGTTGTTACGGGTCAAGCCGCGTGCTGCAGCCAACAACCCCGCTGCTCCTGCTGCCCACTATTTACCATGTGCAGGCACCACGTCTTAACCTCGGAGTACTGACCAAAGAATCCCAAGACACGGTAATTTCGGCGTACATCTCGGGCTTGCTCCGCGGCCCTATGGGTCCTCCCGCCGCCGGCGGGGGGGCCCGCTACCGCGCTCGAGAAAACCCGACTCCTCGCCGCAACAACTGCAGCGGCGGGTCGGGTGAGAGGGAAACCGGGCCCCTCTCCGCTGCTCGCCTGCTCCCGTTCCAGACGGTCGTCAGGCCTGCGACAGCGGCATCTTCGTCTCTACAATCGTCGCCGTCGGGGGTCCCGGTGGGGACGTCGTCTGCCGATCACCGGGACCTCGCGGTGACCACAGCGAACGTTGCCACCGCTGGAACAGCCGCTCATCGATCGCCGCTTCGGAGGCGCAGGCGCTCCCCCCCAAGACAGGAGCGAATCCAAGGACGCTGGCTAAAGCAGCAACGCGCGGACTACGGTACTTCTCCCACTCGTGCTTCAACAGCTCCAATCGTCCCTTCGACGGCCGCGAGGGTGATTGCAACGCCAGAGAGGCGTGGGGGCGTGAGAACGGCGCCTAGTGTCCCAAAGACGCCAATTCGAGCAGATTCAAGCGATGATAATGATTTTCCTCACAGGACTTGCGGATTGTGCGAAGAGCGAAACGCGCCGTCGTTCGTATGCCGGGGCTGGGGTAAGCCGCCAACAACCCCGTCATCAACCACAGGAGAAGCAGCCGTTTCACGCCTAGCAATGCGGCGGATCGTAGACAGCTTAGGGGGTGGGCCGCCATCTCCTCGACTGGACAACGTGCCTCACGGGCTCGAAGGACGCGCAGCCGGTGTCCGCCCGGAAGTCCACGAGAAACCAACACCACCGGCACGAAGTATGTTTTTGACGAGGCAGCATAGGCGCGGAGAAGGGATGGCTCCGCCCGCGTGAACAGCTTTACTGCTGCTGCCGCACCAAAAAACAAAAGCAGCGTGTGTCTGGGCGGTTTGAATGTACGCAGCTACGGCGTGTAGTGAAAGGTGGTGAAAAGGATAGTAGGTAAATCTCGCAAGGGAGCTGGATCTTAGTTTGGGTTGACCTCTCTTGGGCCTCATGGTACGTGGTATGTCATTACAGTAGATGGAGGCGTTGGCTTGTTGTAGCTTGTGGTTATGGCTGGATGATGCTGGACATTGAATCGATTGGCTTAGAAATCGTTGTGCTTGACTTCATGATACCGTCACCGAAAGAGACAACCTCAGTAATCAAGCCAATGAAGTTTCAGGTTTGACTTGACCGCGGTCGAATCGTCCCCTCCAACGAACCTTGGCAGGATGGTGAGCTGCTTTGCGGGATTCTGACGATGATGTGCGTTCCCGCAAAGAGCCTTGACACTCATACCGTCAGCCAGTCGTCGCCATCGTTTCACAGCGACTAAATAATACAGCAATGGTGCAGGGTACCGCCGTCATCGCCATTGGGGATAAATAACTCTTCCAACCAAGAGCTGTTGCCTACCCATCGAACCATGTGCCTTTGCTCTGATCATCCAAACCCAATAGCATCGACCAATCCCCGAATTTCGCGCGCCATTATTCACAACGGCCATCCGGAGCCACCGCAATTGAGCTCCCTACGACTCGAACTATACCGGAGGTGCCTTTCGAGAAGATGCAACAGAACTCCCATCCCCTGCTCCCGTTGACGACCAGCGTTTCGTGGGGCTAGTCCGCAGCATCCCCCACAAGCGTTCATCCCTGGGCGGAACCCCTCCGAATCGTTCCTTGAAGACGCGCTTAACCCCGTTGTCGCTGGCCTTAGCCCAGGAGATGGCGGATTCTCCCCATTCTGGTTCTTTTGGAGGCCTGGCCGGCGAATGACAGAGGATTGGGGTCCCGTACGACGGAATGAAAGGGCCGTGGGGCGGGGGAATGAGACTTCAGACTAGTTTCTTCCGATACCGGTCTGATGGTCGTCCTCCGTGTTATTTATTGAACGCACACATGTTCTGTCAAGGACACCCTGTTTGTGTACCCCCGTGCCTTCCCACGGGGGCCACCTTGCCCACCCACGGTAATAAGAGTTGGTCTGGGGACTTTGTTAACCCAGGGACCGATGCAGATGAGTAGAACCTTGATTAATACACACAGTGCTCCTCCCAGCACAATATACACAGTATATTTTGCAGACACAGAACATACGACATAGACTGAACACATGCGCGGGCTCTCTCTCGAGGGTCCCCGCACTTGGACCCCCAGTAGCATACCCCCCACACACATAACTCTCCAGATCGGATCTTGCACCAAGTACCCCAAACACGCCCTGACCATGGGACACTCTAACCCTTATCAATATTCTCTGGTCCGAAATATTAGTATCTCACCGCGTATCTACTTTCGGCAGGCGATTCCCTTGCCCCCTCCTCCGCACACGCCGATGCCGCTTTGGTTTCCACCTGCAGATGTCCTTGAGAGCACCGCCACTTTCTGTCCTTCCAGGAATTGTCACTTGTCTCGTGCACGGCTCCGAGGTTTCGCAACCGCCGGCCTTCGAGCCGCACTGTTTACAACAAATCCCGCTCGCCATGCTTGTATCGCTTGCGGAAGAAGAAGCGGTGGTTGTGGTCCTCAACGATCTGTCGGATATTGGTATTGGAGAAGCTGGGGTTGGTGGTTGTGGGCCTCGCGAAGACCGGGATGGTGGCAAAAGAGACCACGTTGATGACGACGACGATGACGACGCCCAAGATGACAATGGAACCGACAAGGGCAGCGGCACAGTGGAAGTCTTGCAGCTTTCCATGTTCGAAGAAGGAGCGGCCACGGAAAGCTGGCGTTCCTTCTTACTACTTTGTCTGCTCGGGCCGCTCGGGGCTGTCAATTTTCCTGAAAGATGGACGGCAAAGCGGGGGAAAGGTTTTTTTTTACACAAACTGCTTACATGTAGGAGACGAATGCCTCATACCTATGTAGACGTGAGACGAAACGTCCTGTCAACGCAAACTTTCGAAAGGAGAACAGCCACGCGTACTGCAGCCACATTGATGCCAAACCACGTCCTAGATCTTTGATTACTAATGAATTCATTCACCTTTGGAATCGAACTGCCGACAAAGGCGGCCTGCCTCGACGTTTGCGGGATCAAGCTCCAGGGCTCTTCGGTAGTCTGCATGCGCTTCCGAAATCCGACCGCCGAAGTACTGCGCATGTCCCCTCGAAAGGTAGTAGGCCGAGACCTGTGTGTATGTATTTTTCGCGATAGTTATTCCAAGCGAATACGAAGGAAAGAGAACAGAACCGGAGCAGGAAGTCAGAAGGGTGAAGCGCCCTACACTAAGTACAAGACCCCTGAGGACCGAGCCTTTCGTACGAAAACATACCGAGGTGCGAGTTTGAAAGATGCAGAGTCGGCGTTGACAATGGGCAAACGCGGCTGTAACGGTGAAAGCGTGCATCCCCTCTAGCAGCGCACAGTGCTGAGATCCTTACCACTCGGACCCAGTCAACTCGATCGAGTGTTTGCAACCCATTAAGATCTGCTCTTCCGCGTATCGCAAGGTTGAGTCCACCAATACTGAGCTTCCAAAAATTGGGAGTGAGGTTCAAACTTGCTTGTTGGTGGCGTGTTCATCTTTGATACTTGTACCTTCATGTTATGAGCAAGGTTCCAACTTGCTTGTTGCTTGTGATGGTGTGTTCATACTTTGAAATTTGTACCTTGATACAGCATTTGAAAACGGCCAACAGCCAACAGCCACTAAGCGTGTTCTTCCTACGTGACGGTTCTGAACTAACGCCGACTTGCCATAGCGCGAATAGCAGTTTAGTCTACAGTTCTCCCGAGCAGTGATCAATTCAATGTAGTTGCTCGTACGTATCGGCTACTGTGAGCCCAGAAGAATGTAAACGCACAGCAGTCCTTTTCGTATCCATGAAGTTTTGCTGCTGTACAGCCTTGCGTGCCGGCCGCGCACATGGCACTTGTGAAGGCTGCCTACAGTAGTGCTGTGTTGAAGTGGGTTATAATGAGAAATGTCTCGTCTACTGTACTACACACAGAAAATGTATCCAAACGCAGCAAAGTAAGTGATGTACGAAGAATCCCCGTCGATATGTCATAATAGCATCAGCATGCCTACGGTAAATGAATGCGACCGAGCCGGCGCAGTCAAAACAGTGTTTGAAAGACGTATGCAGTGCCAACAGCAGTTGGCGCTGTTCGTAACACTATGGAATTGATAGCTAGCTGCAGTCTACCGGGGATTTTCGCGGTTTTCCAGGAACAGGCAGAACGAAAAGAGAGCTGCACATTAAAAAAAATGTACATCATCCCGTAGAAGGAATTCTTCATGCGCTCGACGCATGGCACGACAGATATGTCTACGTTTTATGACCGAGAGAGAGAGAGCGAGAGAGTACCAACACATGGGCGTGGTGAGGTCCATAGAACGTTCTGCGACAGGGATGGGCGTGCAGCAGTAGTAGGACACGCGCCCCCGGTGTGTACAAAGCCACAAGCTTATCAATACGAACTCCCTCGTCACACAAAAACCTCCAAGACCCCAAAAACCGTGTGGGGGTGGCAGTGTGAGTAGGTTCACACACAGGCAGTTCGTGCTCCTTACATCACACAAAGCGCGCATGTGTGACAATGACGAAGTGTGGCAGGTGGCCGGGCACCGCCGTCGTCGCCGCCGCCCTGGCGGCAGCAAGGCGGAACAACAGCAGCCTCAGCCGGAGATGCGCCGCATGGCCACTCGGGGAACAGGTCTCGCCGCATCCAAGAGCACCGCAGCAAGCAACGGAAAGAGCAAGGCCAAAAGCAAGGCGGCACCCTACAAGTACTCCTATGGCGAAAGAAACAGTAGCAAGGAGCAACCACCACTGGAGCAAACAGCAGAAGAGCTGGTCCGAGCAGAGCTTGCAAAGCTGGAACAACTGAAGGTGCTTCTGCGAGAAACGGCGCTGTGGCACCGCCTCGTTGAGGGCTTGAGACATATCCTGCCGCAGTTGGGGATTGCGGCTCCTACTCCTGCGGGAAGCTCTCCTACTCCTCCTGATCCTCCTCCTATTACCCCTGCTATTTACTCTTGCCCAAAGAACGGCGTTGGCGACAACGACAGCATTAGTCCCGTGCCGGCATCAAGGCGCTGCCAGGGGCTGCGCGAGCTGGTTTGCTACGGCATCGGCAATTTCAGCGAGAATCACAGCTCGAGATACCAGCTTGCCCTCGCGCTGTGCCTTCGTGACTTGCTTGTGGGAACAATCGACGATACAGGTGCCACGGACGAAGCAGCAGCAGCAGCAGCAGCAGCAGCAGCAGCAGCAGCAGCAGCAGCAACAGCAGCAACAGCAATATCAACAGCAACAACACCGCAGAGCCTCGTAGGACTTGACAGCAACGTAAGCAATTCGGAACGAACACAACAGCAGCTGTGCCACGACGGCACAACATCCCTCCCGAAACCAGCAACAGCAGCAGCGGAGCTGGATTGCTCCCTGCCAGAGCCGGCCCCCACCGACGGGGGCAGCCGCGGTCCTCCCGCAGCCGCAAGCAAGTCGCCGAGCAGGCAAGCCAACCGGTCCCCTCAAGAAAGCAACCCTACGGGAGTGGCAATGCTCGTGTTTGATCCAACCATGGGGGAAGCCGAGAAAGCGATTCTAGCGGCGCTCGGTTGTGGCTTGCTGGAAAACGAGGAGGGGAAACGGTGCTGCTGTCGCTGCTGTGGTGAACGCGGCGGTGGCGACAAAGCAGGGGGCGAGGACGTGGCGACGCCGACGCTGTTCTTCATGCCGCACTGCCCCCGGCGCCTGTACAGCAACGTGCTCTGGGCTAACTGGTCCTCTCGGGGTGAGTGTGAAGGCATGGGTCGTGTTCTTTGGAAAGGGTGTTTCGTCGACAACCTCTTGGGTCCGCTCTCTGTCATTTATGCAAAAGTATATAAACTTGTTTTGTACTGCTGTACCTCTCCCATGGAGGTCTTTTGTAGTGTGGTCGCGTCATGGGCACTTGGCCGTAGGGTAGACAACAGCGAGTGGCTGCACCCCGAAGCGGTGTTCACGCGACGCTTCGCGTGGTAAAGCACCCGTCAGCTTGCAGGCCTGCAGATCGAACCCGTGGCGGCCCACAAGCTAGACAGTGGGCGTTGCCCGCTTCGTAGAAGCAAACACCACGAGTGTGTTACCCTTCTCTAGGGATCCCTCCCTCCCGCCACAACGCCATGCTTCTCTTGCTCCGTTGACCCTCGGCCCTGCCCCCCGCCGCCCGTACACCCAGCAATGGGCTCGATCCTCATCCTCGGCAACAAGATCTCGTCGTACACGGACCGGCTGCTCGACGCTCGCAGCCGGGTTGACCCAACCAACGCCCTCCTTCGGGCCGGGCCGCTGCTGCAAGACATCGACCTCCTCCCGTACCCGGGTTCGGATAGGGCTAGGTGGCGCCGGGATGTCGAGAAGCTGCCGAGATTCGAGCGAGCGTTCAACGACCTGGCGCTTTCGTTTTCGAGCCCCGATGCCCGTAGTTCGACAGAGGGGGCTACAGCCTTGCTCGACAGGCCGCAGGAGTTTGTCGAGGAGGAGGATGGGGAGCTTGTGACGGGGCGGGCGCGTGGCGGCAGATAGCCGTGTGAATCGCTAGTTTCGGGACGGTTTGGGTGGTAGCGTTGCTGGGGCTTGGTGGTGTCTGGATCAGCGCTCCGTGCCCAGCTTTGTCTGTGGGGACCAGGGAGCCAGACGCACGTGTGTTGCTGCGGCTCGTCGTTTGTTTCCTCCGCTTTTGTGATCCGACAATATTTCGCATCTCTAGTAGTACCTTAAGAGGTGTGCTTGTGATGGCTGGGTGGGTCGATGTTTGCTTGCTCTTGCCCCGAACGCAGTGGAATTTTTGGCGTCCGTTGCTCCTTGTTGCCTCCACAACTATGCTTCCGCGCAGTCTCAGCGGCCCCCGGTACGTTCTCAACTTGATTTCACGTCTTTAAACGCTGGTGCGACCATTGTGTGCGCTTGGCTAAATCCTGATTGGTTATTGAAGAGGAAGAGCATGGTTGCTTGATCCTCAGCCCATTTTTTTGGTCGCCATATCCAGGCACCATGTTGGTTCCTGTATTTTAAACAAGCTTGCACGCCGCTTTTGAGCTTGAGTCCGTGCCGGCTATCCTGACCGCACGCCATCAGGTGTGTCGCGTTTGCGGGACTATACCCGTGTACCTCCGGAGGCATGTCTGCCTTCCCTCGCCTCGAGTACAGTCGTTCGCATCGCCTTGACCTGACCACCCGCTCGTACTTAGACATTACGGCGCTCCGGAAAGAACGGTAGGCATTGGTTGACTTGGCTCGAACTCTCGGCGGCAGCGCTCCTATCCACCACATCCGCCACGGTTGTGCTAGGGCCCCGAAATTCTTGCGATGAATCCGCTTGGTTGATACATGCAAGTTGGTTTTTGCGCTTCTGGTAGGAAACTGTTCACGAGCTCCAACATGCAGCAGGTCTTGGTGCCGTCGTCGACCTGCAGACACCCTACCTAACATCCCCGCAAAACACTACCGCCCTCGGAAACACATCTCACACTCTTTGCCGAAAGGTACGCTTTGCCAGGGAAAGAAAAAAAAAATGTTTTCACCTTCCAATTGTAGGCGATGGCCGTATCGAGCTCACTTTTGGCCTCCAGAAAATTCCCGTCGTTGAAGAGGCTGTGGCCCTGAAAAATCGTTCAGCCCGACGAGAAGAAGGCGATGGCAAGGCGTTGGGAAGAACCTCGAGTACGACGCGCGTTTGCTTAAGATGTCACCGCTGCTTCCGCAATGATGGGGGGGTGATTCTCGTAGTCTACCACCACCACATGTGGAAACATGGCGTATGTTATTTTCATAACTTGGAAACATGGCGTATGCCTGGCTCGTACAAATTCCCCACGCTTTCCCGAGATCTAGCGAGATGTCGAAGTTTGTTCCGAGTCTCATCCATGCATCGCACGTGAACCAGGGGTATCAGGTCCTCTCCGACCGATCACCCCGGTTCTCGCATGTTAGTAAACGAATTTGTACATGATCGGTTTCGCCGAGAGATGGTGGGTTCGAGGTGTTCCCTCTACCCCACTGGGAGAGCTGACCCCCTCCCATACCTGCGCAGCTGTCTTGGGCTGGCGTTGCTACCCTCATTCTGCAGCCCACGGAACTTTAAACACAACGCTGTCGGCGAGATACTGAAAGCGGTGCCGCCCTGAGTAGACCCCTTTCCAGGGTGCAAGGTCCTTTCGGAAAGTAGTGATAACAACAAACGAGAGAGTGTGAATCATTTTACTGTTTCAGAAGCACATACGGCGGGCATCACCTTGAGATAGTGTGCCATAGATAAGCGAGTCTTGACCATCCAGTTGCTGGGCTCGACTTCCAAAGCGCGCGTGTAGTCGCGAACAGCCATCTCAGCGTCGCCGCTGCCACGGTAGCAGTCCCCCCTATCATAGTCCAAGAGACAAGGCCAACTTCATTGAATATGATTCTTTTTACAGAAAGGTCGGGGCAGGTTGGTGCCAAAAACTCCTCACTAAGAAGCACATCATCTTGTCCTTACAATGGCATTATGGCCCCTTTCTCGCAAGAGCTTTCGACAAGAAGACGTGAAAACAAGCCATAGTTCACACGCCAAATACTGTTTACTTTCAGGCAACATACACCTTGCCTGTTTAAGAAAAACTTCGACTCCATCGCCCCGCCTGTTGCCAAGGCAGACGCCCGATCACCGTCTATCGCTAGGTCAAGCGCATAAACCGCCTTTCCATGACAGCAGCAGAGGCCCATCCGTGCCGGGGGAAAGCGGAGGGAGAGTTGAAATGCGACAGATGAAAATGTACACACCATCTCGCTGAAGGGAGCTTCCCTCTACGGCGTGTGTGACGGTGTTACCCATACTGGCGTACCATCTCCCACCATGGTCGAAGAATCGACTAGCCCCGCAAAACACTCGGGTGTAGTCGGGACACAGCTATCCCCGTTGCTGGCATAACCCAAACACTAGTCGAAGGCGCCTAGGCAACAACGTCTCTCAAGTAGACGGGTGCCACAAAGGCTTATAGAGTCGTGTCGAAAATGTCGACTAATCCCATCGAGTTGTCATCGGTCGTGCAGATTTGCCGCAAAACGTGAGACAACCTATGGCTGTTACTCGGAGGTCTGGATTGCAACCCCATGAAGTTTTGATTAGGACGACATCTTCAAGGGCTATGTGATATGGTGGAGGGTGTAAATCGCTGTCCGCTGTCGAAAAAGAAAACTCGTTTGCCGTACCGTACAACCTACGGTATCAAGGAGAAAATACACGAAGTTAACTCAGCCTGTCGTGTGAAAAGAGGGAATCGTCGTCGACAGACGTTGGGAGATTGTAACCTTTATGAAGGTCATCTCGATAGTTGGCATCAACATAATTTCTACATGCATGAAAGCCTCAGTAAGACAAGGGTAGATGGCGACCAACCGTTTACTTATCGTTATGATCGAACCCATCACCATCATCTGGTCGTCCTTCGCACCTTTTCGTACTCCCCGAACTCGAACAAGCTCAAAGCCCAGTCGTTCAGGACGAGACACCGCTGCCTCGTGATGTACGGGGGCTCCGAGTATCCTTCCCTCTCCTTCCCCTCCCCTTGCGATTGCTGCCCCCTTTCGCCTTCAATGATGACAGTCTTCAACAGTCCCCCCTTCCCCTCGGAGGGAATGCCTCCCGAAGGTGCCGACGACAGTAAAACATTTTGCTGCTGTTGCTCTCGAGAAAGTCGCTGAGGCGGCGTCTGCTCGTTCTCTTGTTGCTGTTGGGGCTGAAACGGTCGGAGGGTATAGGTAGGGTCTGGTCCGGCGTGCGGGATCGCCAAACGGAACATCCGGCGGAGCTCCTCGTCGGCCAGCCTCTCACAATCAACCTTCGAACGTTTTGACAAAGCATGGGGGGATATACCTGAGAGAGGGGGGGGCAGAGTACCTTTCCAACCGCGTTTTAGGGGAAGAGTTTTTCATGGGAAGGTACCCATGCACTGCAATTTGCACCTACAGATCTTTCACGTTCACGACTCGAAGAGCAGTACAACAAGGGTGGTGTCTTGGCACAGACACGTGCGGAGGATTTATACCAGAGCGCTATCGAGTTGAAGGCCGCGAGTCTCTTCAGCAAGTGTCATCTCGTACACTGATTGTGCCTCTTCCAATTGCAAAAATAAACGCATCTGGGCTTGCGAAGGGCGGAGCACAACAACAGTCAACTTGGGTGGTGAATAGCCCCCCTCCCGAACACGCTATCACGATGAGATACGTCGTGTTTAAACACGCCGTGGATACGCACATATCGATGGAGTATCTTACCTGCATCTCCATGTCCTCTTGAATTCTACTTGCTTCGGTCGTTGACAATCTCGGCGGGTCCGTCCCCCTTTCCGCGGTGTTTATGCTAGGAATTGTTTCGTTTGAGACATGCGGAATCAAGAGTGGCAGGAGGGACACGGCGCGAGAAAGTATCAAGGGGATACGTAGAACTTAAACTGTGCGTTGTTTTGTGGGCCACACGAAAGGACTTTTTGGGACACAGTCACGTCAAGAAGCCTTCGATAACGTTACGAGTTCGAATGATTTCGTTGAGTTCCCCGTATATTGTAGCTCAACGGTGTCAACATGCCTTGTCCCCAGTTATAAAATATTCGTAAGCCACAAGAGAATCAGGGATCTGGAGAGATCGCGGCAAATGGTGTCTCCGTCGTTGTTGTAGGTACAGTTCTTCCTCTTGAACGCTTGACTCCGAGCTCCGAACAAATCAAGTCGGATTGGCAATATTTCGGTCACAAGTGGTTCACTCAACTAAGGTGCACGGAACAAAGAAAACCGACAACCGGAAGACACCACGAGAACACACATGTGTGCAGGCACTCCAAGACCCCCAACATGAAAGTAGGGTTAGGCCAGGTACACCAGGAGGAAGCCGACAACCCACCTGTCGGCTCTCTGTAAGGGACTGCCAAAGACGCTGCCAACGTCCTAAGGTTGTGGTTGGTTGATTGATTGATTGGTGTTGCCTCTACCATCGATGACTCTCTTTTCCATCAGAAGCACCTTTGTCGGGGTGAATTGCCTTGTCGGTCGGGATCGTTTCGTTGATCGGTTACTCCGCACTCAGACCAAAACCGTCGGCTGAGAACGTGTCAGTTGATATCGTACTCCATCGAAAGGTCCGGGTCGACCACCGGCGAGTGTAAGCGTGACCGTCATGCCCAAGCGTAGCCGTATGCCGGGGAGTACACAACCCCGAATACGTACCCGGTAGTGTCGGCTAATGTATCATCAATGCTGCCAAAGACTCATAACGTGGCACGTGACGACAACAAAGGCGGGTACGCGTTTGCACCCATTGCTCTGGTTGAAACCAACTACGAGGGCAATCTAACCGCATATTTGTGGGAAACATAAAACAACGTCACAAACGACGAATGACACGATAACAAAGAGCAGTCACCTTTCGGAGAGTGGGGGAAACGGCGACTCAGATACACCCGCGCGTCCAGGTTCCACCGTCGCATTTTCTCCGTCCCCACCCCCGCCCCCCCTTTTCGTTTCCCTCACACCCGCTGGTGTGTCCTGCTCCCCCTTCTCCCCGGTGACCTTCCCAACGTCGCCACCGCCCGCGAGTGCATCTGAGGCCGAGTTTTCCACCCCCTCGGTGTTCTCACCGTCCACAACCTGTCCGCTTGCCGCCGCCAAAACCACGTCTCCCCCCGCGCGCGCTCCCTCTATTCCCGCTCCCCCTCCTAACCCACCCGGCACAGCTACGCCTAGCCTCCCTGTGTCCTCGCCTCGCCTGCTGCTTGCCCTGCTTCTCAGCCTGCTGGCTGCTCGGTCGAGCGCACGACGCCCGACGTGTACCTCCCTGAAGTGTCGGAAGGAGCACTCGTCGTAGTCGCAGAGAGCGCCGGCAAAGTCCTTCAGCCGCCTGTTCGCGCAGGACAGAGCGTTCAACGGGATCGGGGTTGGCTGGTAGTCCCAAGGAGGCGAGGGTTGTGGCGCAGAGCTGAGCTGTATTCGGTTTTGCCGACAATCAGCAATGACCGCGTTGCCTGTCGCCCGGCCCCCTGCTAAAGGAGAGAGGTTGTCAAGGGTCAGGGTACGCCAGGTTTTCGGGTGGGCCGAAGAGCGGCGACGGACTGAATTGTGGCGGGATAGATACGTCGGAAAGGAATGTGTCCACGGGCGGGCTGTTATCGCCACCTCTATATTTGGAGAAGTATAGTGCTAGTGCTAGAGGCACGACCACCCGGTATGAGCATAGTACTGGGTGGAGTCGTAGTGGGAAACGGCCGTGAAGATTGAGGCTAGGAACACAAGCCGGGCACCTGCACTTTCGTTTATTTCTAGGCTGGACTCCAGACGGGTAGCGATGACTCGAGCTCTAGCGAGGTAC